CTTTATTAAACCTTAAAAAAGCCTATAACTTTATTTATATAAAAAAAGGTAATAAATAAAAAACTACCTTTAAAATTAAATATAAATTATATAAATATAATATTATATAGTTTAAATTAACTAATACCTCTATAATATTTTAAAAAATAATTAACTATATATTATAAAATTATATAAATTATTTTATTATTATATACTTTAATAATATTTTTATTTACTTTAAAAACTTAAAAAAGTATAAGAAATATATTAAAAAGGCATTATAAATACTTTAAAATAATAAACTCTTAGTAAAACTTAAGAAATATAATTTTTATATATAAAAAGTTATATTTTTAAAATATATTATTACCTTAAGTAAAGTTTAAATAAACCTTAAAAAACTTAAAGTAATTAATAATTAAAAGCTATTTAAGAATATTAAATAAATATAAAGCTTTTTAAAATTTATTAATTATTATTAATACTTTATTAAGGATTTTTTAAAAATTACTATATTACTTATAAACTTAATAAAAAAATATTAAATTTAAACTTCCGTAAAATACTTTAATAACCTTTAAATACCTTAAATAAGCCCTTATAAGTATATTAATACTTATAATATTTAACTTGAATAAGCCTATTACTATTAAAACTAATACCTTAGATTATATAATTAATAAAGTATTTAGTTAACTAAATAAAAAAGGGAAACTTAGGTCTATTATCTACTTTTTTAAAAAACTATATAATTAAAACTAATACTTTAGATTATATAATTAAGGGAGTACTTAGTTAACTAAATCATATACCTAAGCAGAAGCTTAGGCCTATTACTTATTTTTTAAAAAAACTAAATAAACTAAAACTTAAATATTTTATTTATAATAAGGAGTTTATAGCTATATATTAAGTATTTAGTAAGTAGTATTAAAGATATTATTATAAAAAAAGTTAATTTTTAATAATAATTTTTATAAATTATTAGAATATTACTTACTTTATAATAATATAAAAATTATTTTATAAATAAGTTAAGTATTATAAATAACTTTTTAAATTTAAGCTTATTATTAAATACTATAGTAAATTAAATAATAAATATACTAATATATTTAGTAAATACTTAAACTACTTTTAGAAAATCTTAGAAATTAAAGCTTAAATTTTAAAAAAAAACTAATATAAAAACTTAGTTATTTAATTAATTAATACCTTATACTAAATTAAAATAAATAACCTAATTATTAATAATATAAAGAAATATATTAAAAACTAGGAAAATTAATAATACTTAGAAAATATTTTTATAAATACTAAATACCTAATACTAAATAAACTTATTTAAGTATTAAAAGACTTATAAAATAAAGTAGTAAAATTAGTTTACGTATATAAGCTTAATAAATACTATAGTATTAGGAAAACTATATAATAAGTTAAATAATACTTTAAATTTAAAGGTATTAAAATATAAGTATAAAAAATTATATTAAAATATATAATATATAAATAAGCCAAAAGCTCTAAATATAACCTATATAAATAACTATAACTATTACTTATACTATAATAACTATAAGAATTAATCTTATTTAACTTAATTATAAAACTACCTTTTTTAAGAGAATTAGTTATAAAGGTACTTTATAATAGTATTTTTATAATAGTTAATAAATTTATAAAAATAGCCTACTTTATATTATTTAAAAAAGTTAATAATATAAAAAGATTAGCTTATATAATAATAAAATATATTATAAGTAACTATAAACTATTAAAAAATATAATCTTTAATAAAGGAAATATATTTATATTTAAGTTTTAAAAAGTATTTATAGCTAGACTAAGAATAAATTATAAAGCTAATATAATCTACTACCTATAGATAAATAAATAAATAAAAAGAATTAATTAAATAATTAAAACTTATTTATATTATTATATTAATTTTAAGTAAAATAACTAAGTAGAACTCCTCCCTGTTATATAACTTATATATAATAGTATAAAATTAAAATTAATTAATAAATTACTGTTTTTCTTAAATTATAAATTTAAACCTAAAGTTTATTAATTACTAAAGTAAAGGAAAAATATTAAAAAAGCTATATTTAAGGTAAAAGATATAATTAAATTATATAATAAACTATAATAATAACTTAAATTTATTTAATAATAGATAATTAAATATATAAATAAAAATAGACTTAAGGAACTAACCTTTTAGAAAAAAAATATAATTTAGTTATACTAATATATATAAGGAAATAAATAAGTAAATATTAAGATAAATAAGCTAAGTAATAAACTTAACTTTAAAAAACTTAAACTTTATAAAATTTTAAGGAAAATTAAAAAAGTAAACTATAAACTTAAACTTTTAAAATAATAGAAAAAATAAAGGAAATATATATATTTAATATTTTATATTTTTTTATTAAAAAAAGTATAAATTAATAAAAAAACTAAAAGATTTATTTAAAATAAAATTATTATTAAAGAGGAAGAAAAAAAATATAAGGTAAAAGATATTAATATAATAAAAATAGGAGAAGATAATAAATAATATTATAAAGTATAATAAAAAAAAAAGAAAAAAAAGGAAAAAATATAAAAACTTATTAAATACCTTAAAACTTAATAATACTAGTAGAAAAACTTTATTAAAGCCTAAGGATTATATTAGCTTAGGATTTACTTTTAATATTCTTAAATAATCTAGTAGCCTTAAAAAAACAGGGTTAACCTTAGAAAAACCCTTTGCTAATTATATTATAATAATTTAATAAATAGCCTCTGCTTCCTTATGCTTAACTTTATTTAACTCCTCTAAGTTATTAATACCTTATATAACTATATAAGTTATTTTCTTTAACTATAGATATTTCTATTTATAAAGATAATTAATCTTTATATTAATTATTTTATACTTTTCTTTAGCTTTTTAAAAAGTATTTTTATATTAAGTATAAAATAAAGTAATTTTTTAAAGCTAAGCTAATAATAATAAATATATATTATATAAGGATTTATTATCTTTTATATATTTAATATAATAAATAGAATTTTCTTTAGATATTTAATATTTTAAAAAGCTTTACTTTTTTTTATTAAAATAATATATATAATCTTTTATTTTAATAAAATAAAATAAAATAATTTTTAAAAAAATATTATAATACTTTATCTTAGGATAAGATTTTTTATAAATACCTAATATAATAATTAATAAAAATATATAAATATAAAGGAAAAAATAAAAATATTAATAAAAATAAAGGAAAGTAGTTACTTATATTAAATATAGTAAGGTCTTAAGGATAAAATTAATAAAAAGGGGATATTATATTATAACTTAGCTTTTAAAGTTATAATAATAAACTAATAGGTTAACCTAAACTAAATTAACTTTAATCCTTTAATTAATTAAAGAAGGATTAAAAGATAATTTTTTAATTTAATAGTAGATTAATAAATTATTTATTAATCTAAAAAAGAATTAATATTTTATATATTAATCTAATCTAAGTTAACTAAATATATAAGTTTACTTTATATTATTTATTAAAATACTTAAATAGCTAGTTATTATTACTATAGTAATTAAATTAAATATTTAGATATTTTACTCTATAGTTAGTAATAAAATTACTTATTTAACTAACCTAACTACTCCGCTAATATAAACTATAGAACTATTCTAAGGTTTGTCCCTTGGAAATAGCTAACCTATAGTGCCTATAGGAACCAGTTCGTTATACATAATAGAAGACTTAATCTTTGTATAGCTAAGGAATAAGTAGGTCCGTCTCTTTAGCAGGGATATTAAGAAATCCTAGCTGCAGAATATATATATAGCTGTATACCTATGCAATAGGGAGTCAGTATTTATCATTAATATCTAGCGTTAATTTAGTACGTCCTACCTTGCTACCTATTTACAAAGTCCAAAATCTCAAATTTAGGCTGACTCTCTTAACTACCTAAACTACAGTTTTAAGTATACAAACGTTAACCTCTTTAAGGATGTCAAAGCCTGCGAAATCCGAAGCTCCGGCAGGTTAAACATATACTATGAAAATTAATTTACTTCAACTTTCCACTAATAATAGTTAGAACACTTTAGCCATACCAGTAAAGTATACCTCAGTTACATCTCTAATACCTTCGATATCTACAAGCTTGGCCACCACTTCATCTATGCTCCTGGTAAGATCAATATCGTAAGCCAGCACGAGGCGACTATCATCGGGCAGGAAAGACACAGCTCGGTCTAATGGTCGGTTTATAAGGCCAATAACACGACGAAATGCCGTGGTAGTGGGATACTTAATAGCTTCGCGTAGAATAGCCCATCCAGTGATACCAGAAGCTCCAAACACCAAGGCGGTGCGGTTTTCAATGAAGAGGGAAGACATTTATATAATAATCGAGTGTTCAGGAAGCAGAAATTGAAGACAGTGTTGTTTATTGGGTTTATGAGCAAAGAATAATTTAGTATTTCAAGTAAAATGTTTACACACGCATGCACATATATATATGTCCCGTTGGCGAAGAAATGCAACTATCATCCATATCTATATTTCCCATCAGTATGAAGCCGGAAAACGAAGTTTGCCCGCGTGTCCATTCGAGCGGACTTTGCACAATACTCAAAGCAATATTCATGAAGCCCCAGCTACATTAAGATACCCAATCTCAGGTGAAGCCCGCTTGCGCCCCTCGTCGCGAGGACCAATTAAGCGGAGCGAGAGCGAAAACGAATTAAGCGGTAGCGGCAAATGACTAATCATGCCGTCGCCGAACTCCACCCTTGCAGCATTAAGCCAATCAAAAGGCGCTATTCTAGAGCCAGCAGCTACATTAGTGCATACACCTGTTCTACCCGGAAGTCCTAATACAGTAGGATAAACTCACTCTTGATCCCAACTTCCAGGTCTAAATTCACGGATCTAATTATGATTAGCCTTATTGATGCGATACTTGTAATCGGCGACGGAGCGATTAGTCATGGTACACTTGCTACTAGTCATTTTTTTGCCTTCTATCCACGCCGTGGACGATGTGAACACGGCCTCGGCTCAATTAAGAATGCCGAGTCAGTTTGTTCCGTAACGCGCAGTTATCACTCGGCGGAGTTTGGCCCGCCAATTTTCGAATGAGATGCTACCTTGGTGTGAAAAGCGCAGAGAGAGAAGATTTACTGAAACTGAGAGTGTATCGTCTCAAATTATGTTTGGGGATTCATCAAGTTTACCCAAGCACTCGTCTTTTCTATGTGAACTCTGTCGTCTAGGTTCTCTCATTGGATAGAATTGAACAAATCTTGACGAAGGATGCGCGGTGCATCCTTAGCTATGCTCGTCTGCTTTAGGCTATTCATGCCTCTATCTCATGACCCCTTTTTTTCTTCTTCGTTCTGCGGGCAACGGACGACGCATCTCGTAGATAGTGTTCTGGTTCGATCTAGGAATTGCTCATTGCTGATGGTGCTGTTAAGAAGCGCGAATTGCGTTACTGACTACATGAGGGAAATCGCTGTCTGTAAGGGCAAAGGCCAGTATGTAAGCTGTGCGTGTGGAATTCGGCATAAGACTGTTGGCTTAAACAGGAGGCTGTGACTTCATGCGAAGCTCCGCTCCGTTACCGTCTCGCAGATGGGTGGTCTTTCAGATTTGTAAGATCGATGCTTAGTTGGAGCGACTCTTTGTAAGACGGACTCCGGCCCGATCTATCTTATTAGAATCCACAGGATGCCAAGACACGCTGGGTTTTTACATGTGTTTTCTGGCTTGGTCTGCTGTTAGCATGAGCCAATCCAACTCAGTCCTATGTACTCGGTCATCATTCCATGTTTATGGAATATAAAGTCCTGTCACTAACGTTCCCTGCTTGTCCATAATTTTATCCAAGTCAACTGTCGCGGGTATCGCAACCTTTCCTCTCGTTGGTTTTCTATATTCTCACCGGCCTCGCTATCATTATGGTCAAGCCCACAATTCTCATCACTGGGTGTACTCAAGGCAGTATTGGATATTCACTAGCAAAGGCATTCGCTTCTCGGGATTATCATGTATATGCTAGTTCTCGCCGCATCATGTCTATGGGTGACCTAGTCGATATGCAAAACATCACTGCCATCGTCCTCGATGTTACGAACCGAGACTCAATTCTTGAAGCCCACGCCCGGATTTCCCGAGAGACCAATGGCACACTCAATATTCTCTATCACAATGCAGGCTACCGCCATTTGGCAATGGCCATCGAGACGTCACATGACGAAGCCATTAAAACATTCGACACCAATCTCCTCGGTATCATTGAGATGAACTGCATTTTCGCCGACCTTGTTATTTCTTCGAAAGGCAAGATTGTCTTCACCGGATCCGTCTCAGGGTACACTCCTCATCCATCGCAGTCTATCTATAATGCATCCAAAGCAGCAGTGGCGCTGTACGCCAGAACATTACGTCTCGAATTGAAACCCTTCGGCGTCCGAGTCATCTTCGTTCAAACAGCTGCCGTGAACACTGGAATGTCTAGTGAGCGTGTTGCCTTAACCCCAAACTCCTATTATAAGTACCTCGAGACCAAGATCAATAGCGCATGGATCGATCTTGAGGCTACCACAATGGAACCCGAAGAATACGCAAAGACCGTTGTTATGAAAATTACCAAAGGGCAACCACCAGACATCATATGGTGCGGAAGCGGCGCGTTCACTGTCTGGGCAATTGAGACCCTCGGCGCCCATTGGTTGTATTCACTCTTATTTTCCAAGATGTTTGGGCTAAATAATATTGCGCCGCGGAGGAGGCTTGCGTAACCAGGGACTACAATACCTTTTATGGCGTCTTACCCCTCTGCATTATTTAGTTTTTAGGAAGACATGCGCCCAAGATGCAGCTTCTATTTGTTTTGTCATCTAAGCAGCATTCTTTTTAACAAACACTTAATCTTGTACTTAAGTACACTTAGTGGCCCAAAGTCTGCGAACACACCACTTTTTCTACTAAGGCAGATTTATACAAAATAACTTCAACTAGCTATTTCTCAGTCAATTTAAATGCAAAAAAATTAAAAATAAAATAAAAATAAAAATAAATAAACTAGCCATTAAAATGCCCAACTTCTGTCATTTAATATTTTATATAATAGCCTCGTACATGAATAACAGCCGCAAGTCGGCGCGGCATAGAAGAGAGCAGCCTCCGAATTAGGACTTGTGGAATAGTTGCCCACGCAACCCTTAAGCTGCATTTTAATTTTTCTATTAATTAGGTGTTATCTTTTGAATCGTAAAGATAAGGAAATAAATAAAATAAATTCTCCTTCAAAGCCTTCCAAACGTGCTCTATAGGGTTGAGATCGGGGGAGTGAGGCGGCCAGTCAATATAATCAATGCCGTGGACTTGAAGCCATTCCGGCGTGCCTCCAAAGTTGTGGATTCTTGCGTTATCCTGTTGAAATCGCCTTGTTAGATCCCAAATTGGAAGAAGACCTTCCTCCAATACCTTCTAACAGCTTTGCGATGTGTAGCCTCGCCGCCACGCACCAAAACCTGGCATGGATGAGAATTTGACTCGACCATTGATCTAGCCCTCGCGTCGGAAGACATAGCGACAAGTATGATTAAATGCACACCTATGAAAACAGATCATGGGTCGGACCACCAGGCGATAGAGACGGTCTTTGAAGTACAACTACCCGAACAAATACAGCAGGAGTGCTAAAGATGCACCATGGAAGGAAATCAATGTAATGATTGCGAAGAATCTGGAAAGACTCCCGACTGAAGGCACCGTACAGCAGAACACAGACCGGCTCATGTCTGCCAAGAGATCCTTCTCTTGGATCTCTGGTAAGAATGGTTCAAACATGCGGCACTCAACGAAGTGGCCCTGTGTCCTGGGCTCGCCACATTTGCAGTTGGGCCTCGCCTCGTGACCGTATCTCTTATGGTATTACACGAATCCCCGTGGCCAATCCTTTCTGCAAGGAGCCTGTGGAGGATGGAGCGTTGGATGGTAACGCCGGGGACATTGCCAGTGCGTCGATTCAACTTGGATAGCCTGGATTGCTAGTTGTTGAAGTTAATCATTCGCATGGAGTAGCTTCATTGCACAGCGTATCTTTTAACATATACAGTACAACTAATAAGCGTGTTTCTCACGTCGTGTACCCCCTAATAATATAAACCCGACTCGGTCATCCGCTTAGTATCTTACCATATAAACCAAATATAGACCGGTTTACCATATATTTCTTCGTATTCCGACCCTTGTTTTGAATGAAGTATCGCAACATACCCCTGAGAGTCTATATCTGGCCAGACGGGAATTATCAAGCATTAGGATGATGCCAGAGGTTGTTCCAAGATCTATACATAATGCTTGATATACCTTCTGACGCTAAATATAGATCGCTTCAATGCACGTCGCAAACCCTTGCCTAAAACAGACATGAAGGTACATTAGTAAACATACTAGTAGCATTTTTAAACACGCTTAAATACAGAGACAGCCCTAATTTAGCTGTGTGGAGTGCTTCAATCTATTCCTTATTTAAAAAAATTTTCAGGTGTTACCTTCAATGTAAAGGTGGAGAAATCATTTCATAGAAAAATAGTATAATAAGGTGCGGAATATGTCTCTATTCAATGAAAAGACGCTCTCTTTATTTGATTATAATTATTCTTCAATCTCTCCATAGCTAGAGCTCATACACGCTTCTCACTTGCCATTTTCATCTAATATCAAAGATGGGTATTCCTGTATGCAACAATACGCTTGAAACAAATCGCAGTAAGTTTAGAATATATGTTTCCCATGAAGCCACTTTTATCTCATTTAAGAGCAGTTAGCGAGGTTCCGATACATGGCGTCCTGACTTTCCATCATATTGCCCTCATCCTTGTCTCATTTTTTGTTATTATTTCTACGAGTACAAGTTTATACTTAATGTACCAGCATGCTACTCATTATTCTGTACCTCACCAGCAGAAATAGTAAGTGTAACCCCCTTCAATTTCTCTGCGATAAATCAGTTCATTAATGCAGTCAGTATCCTTCGTATACTTTTTATTATCCCGGCTTACGGCGCAACTTGTTTACTTGTTACTGGATTTTACCGGTATTACGTCTACTTCTCCATCATTATGGCGGTCTTGGCGCCTCTTATCCTTGTGGGCTACTTAACATTCATCTGCTGTCTTATTGCACCCGCATGGGAGCAACAACAAGATTGGCTACGGATGAAAGAGGCAAGACCATGGATTTTCCACTTAAACCTCCTATATTCCATCACCGGTATGCAAAATGGGCCTTTCAGGACGCCGCGGACCGCTTTGACCCAATTCAACGTAAGTCAACCGTCTGCCAAGTAATCTCTTTATTTTAGGCTAACTAAATAGATTATCTGGTTTTGTGTTTATCAATATGTCGTTGTTTCTATCATGATGGGAATTGTAGCTATCTCTACACAGGCTGTTGGGAAATACTGCCAGACTTCTCTCAGCACACACTTCGCTCACTTATGGGTATGGCTTCTTCAACACTATTTACCTCTCTACTAACAACAGCAGACAACTATATTTACGGCTCTATCGATGATCCCCGCCATGCATACCTTAATCCAGGCTCACTGGACTATACGGCACAAGTTTTCGCACCTCCGTATGGATCGCAAGCTTCTTTGCATCAAGCTTGTCATCTTCTTAACTTCTTGGCAATCTGTATGACTCACTTCACCTTATCAACCGCCTCAAGCTAATATAGCGCCCCAGATAATCTTCAATCTCGCAACAGCGAAAGTCAGATCCTCTCGTTATATAGGACAAACTGATGTGCAAGTCGTGCTCCAGTACTTAGTCCTTTCTGTTGAGCTGATTTTCTTTGCCTTCCTCCACCTTAAAGCCTACCCGTGGAAGGATTACGTCATCTCATTTGATCAACCAGGCGAATACCAAGGCGGAGCTATGGGATGGCGTGCGTTCCGTGATATGGCCAATCTTTCCGACATTGGTGTCGCTATCTACAGAGCTGCTCACTGGATATTTTTCCTTAGGGGCCGCAGGCACCTAGAGAATCGAGCTGCCGAGAAGCCTAATGGTGTCGAAGACTATAACTTGATAAACCAGAAGCCTGTCAATGTCAATGTTAGTGACGACCTCTTCTGCCTAACATACATACAATGGATGAGCCAGAAAATTCGACTTTGTGGTTAGTTTGTTGCTCGTAAATGACAAACCCACTCTACTCGGGATCGGGAATAGGGTTATTCTCCTGTGGCTACATGCTGAGGTTTTGCTCTGTAGAAGGGTAACCTACAAATTCTACAAAATATCAATTTAATAGGACACAATCCTTAATACTCTTCCAATAACTCCCTTATTTCATCTTAGTCCTCTGATTTGGAACTTAAGTGGGAAATTGTCAGAAGCAATACGACGAAATGACAATTCGAGGGGCTGTGTGGCGCAGTGGTCAAGCACACAGGTGACCTAGAGAGAAAGGTCGTAGGTTGGATGAAACAGCCGCTCAAAATATCGGCTTCGACAAGGGGTATTGGTGCCAGAACACGCGACACCTTCAAAGTGAAATGCACCGTAGTAGGGAAAATAGGGGTGAAGTCTTAGGCAAGTCCCAAGCAGCTGAACCTAGATACTCGATAATTTCTAGAAGTATAGCTATCCCAGCAATAGCGTTCGCCATATCATCCACCGATGGCTATCGCCACGAACTCATCAGCTCTTCACCCATCCTGACGCTGTCCTCTCCAGGGAATCCGATGCTACCCAGCACGGTGCATTTTGCTCGAAGAGATGAACAGGTAGCCTATGCCGTTCTTTCGCTTAGACTCGATTATGCGGATTCAAGTTCAAATATATGCCAAGGGGGAGCGAATATACCGGAAGCGTGGGAAAAAAATAGATCGCCACTCGTCACAAAGTGCTGAGTCAAACAATGCCGCTTTGGCACAGTAACTAAACCAGACAACCATCTCTAACATCTGATAAAGTATCATTCTTTAAGAAGGAAGATCAAAATGTATGTACCGTTCGTAGGGGATGACGAGTGGATCTAGGGCTGATTGAGTTGGAGATCACCAAAGAAATTTGCAGCAGAGCCGGATTTTACAGCACAGATGGAATAAAATTTTATTATAGAAGCATTATTATAGTATTACCTAGACAGAATGGGTCTACCTACTGCACGAGGCCCTCTAAAATACCAGTGGAGCCCTCTCTCACAAAGGTAATCATGGTAACACTTAGTGTCTTTGTTTTGAAACCTGCTTCGTGAAAGGGCTATGAATCCAGGAACGAGCTCTGGAGTCGCTTTACTATGTCATGGTACAAGACAGCCATTGGCAACAGACATTTAACGCTTCAAAGTGGATTGATATGACAAATCACCGGCTTTACAAGGTAAGTCAAGCCCTCTTTTTGTACCAGCTGCATATAGTCGAATTCTTGTTTATAAAGTACTAGTACTACTAGTATTATCTTAAATGCATGCTCTTGCCTAGGTTATATCTCACAACTTGCATTCTTTCCTTTATATGATGATTACCCATCTGCTAGTCATGTGAGATTTTGGATATCTCGCTTTAATCGAGTCCTTGACACGCTTGTATACCTCGAGCGGGAGGTAAATGCGTGCGAAGGCGATTGCGTGCCTTCCGACAGAATCCTGATGAATCATTGGGAAACGCTTGCAGACCTTCTAACAAATGGCTATACGGAAGACCTGGTCGACAGCATTTCCCACAAGAGATTTGGGTTGCCCCAGGACAGCGCGTGTGAGAAACCAAGGAAGAGCGAGATGCTGGGCGGCGATGGCCTCCTCGCTGGACTCTGCGGTAAGCAGATCCAGCAGCAGGCTAAAGCTATCAAGAAGGCGGGTTGCCATCCCTTTCCCAAATTGAAGCCCACGTTGGAGATTAAGAATAGCCGCTTAGCCAGGCCATGATCCACGTCATGGCCTGGGTTAAACCCCCGCCCGTCAGACGTCAAACGCACGGCAATAACAAGCCTTCCCTCTTCAAGAAGAACCTGGAACCACCGTTCAGGGATGTACAAATCACTGGGCCGCAAACAAGATCACGCAAATGTCCATCCAGCCGAGCGGGATATCCTCGAACACGTCCTGAGCCTACGGGAGGAGCTCAAGCGGCTGGGCGGCCCCGAACTGGAAGATCTGTCAATAGAAGAAGACGACGCCGCCAGGGACGTGTATAACAGAAAGTTTAACTGCAGCGAACTTTGGCGTGGCGCACTGGAGATCGTTCCATGCAGCCTGAGCTCTGGCGTCCAAGCTGAGTGGGTGCCCACGCCAGCCAACACCAGCAGCCGGAGATAAGGATAAAGAAGCCACCGGTAGTGATAACGTCGAGTACGACGACGACGATGATAGCAACGCCAATGGTGGCTTCCGACTGAACGCCAAGAGGGGAGTGATGATGCTGGTCGATCACATACAATATCAAAGAGGTTAAGCAGTACTATTGGGCTTGGGAACCGGGCATCTCGCAGCAGGCTGAAGCCCAGCTCGAGGACACCATGAACGACTGGCTGATCGGCGAAAAAGAAAGGCACGGGGAGCTTGGGTCAATAGACAGGAACGCTAGCAGAAGGCCGGCAAAACAAAGACGTGAGCAGCAGGAAGGGCGGGCAGAAAGGCAGCGGCGGTGGCAGCAAAGATGGCGAACCATGCAGTTACCTGTCACAAAAGGCAATCCCACACAACGAGGGTCTCCCCGGCAAGCAAGGCACCATCCGCAGGGCATCGAGACCGCCGCCTCACAGCCTTCACGCAAAGAACTCCGCACAGAGTGGGTTGGTCATCTAGCAGGGGATCCAGAACCTCGAATGAAACCATGGTTAACGCAAGAGCAAAGTCCTCCTTGAAATACGTTTAACAAATGACCACCACGACAAGATGGCGATTGGCGTGAAGGGTAATTTAAAACAGCATTATTAAAAACGTGGAAAGTGCGCGTATAGGCATCAATTTAGCCCATCTGGTCTTGGCGAACGCCTGGAATAAGACACTCAGAGACTGTGTATGGGGCCGCCCGCTCTTCTACTTAACTATGCTTTAGGCTTTTTTACATACGAGTCGTGAGCCCATTCTTTAGTCAAGGTGTTTCTAACATATTTAATTCTTTTTAAAATATGAGGTATATATATAGCGAAGCTAGCTAGACTACTTCCAAGGGAAATATATGCATGGCTTAAATGCGAGTGGGATTTTAAACCCAATAATCAGCTTAAAAGTGGATTTTACACTTATATTATAATAGGGGATTTCCGTGCTAATTCAGTAATACAGATTTACAGGGCATTTTATATAAGATTTGTACTAGATATAAATGTCAGGCTATCTGTGTGGGCATGCTTTTTGCATATTGTATACGAGCTGATTAGCTGTGGATGCTGAGGCGAGAGCGAAGCCAGAGTAGTACAGTTGATCATAACGAATTATTACGCTGTAACAAACCAGGTCCTATAGGCACTATAGGTTAGCTGTTTCCAAGGGACAAACCTTAGAGTAGTTCTATGGTTTATGTTAGCTTAGCAGTCAGGTCGGTAGACAGGCAATTTTATCACTAGCTTACAGAGTAAAGTATCTAAATATTTAATCTAGTTACTATTATATTAATAATAACTAGCTATCTAAGTATTCTAATAAGTAATATAAAATAAACTTATATATTTAATTATATATTCTAAATTATATTAAAAAGCTAGCTTTTTTAGCTTTCTTATAGTAAATTATTTAAAAAGCTAGCTTTCCTAGTTTTCCTATTAAAAAATATTAATAATCTTAATTAATTTATTAGCCTATAGTTAATTTAGTTTTAGCTAACTTATTAGTCTATTATTATAACTTTAAAAGTTAAGTTATAATATAATTCTCCCTTTTTTATTAATCTTATCCTTAAGACTTAATTAAGGTAGTATATAAATATTTACTCCTATTCTATTAGTAAATACTATAATCTTTTTTATTTTACCTTTATTTTTATTTCTTTATTATAGCTAATTATAAACATAAGTATAATAATAAACCTGTTTTTAAGTAAAAGAAAAGAAAATATAAAGGTTTTACTAATACTATACTAAAGAATTCTATTTTTATTATAAAATTATATACTTACTATAAAAAGTAAAGCTATAATTATATTACTTTAAAAAAAGATTTTTATTAGTATTTTTCTTATATTTAAAATTAAAAATCTTATTATAAAGTATTTAGTCTTACTCTATAATAAATACATAAGGTAGTAACTTATTATTTAAAATTAAATAAAAAGCTTAAAAAAGCAGAAGAGGTATAACTTAAGGCTAGTGCTTAAGTAAAATATCTTTATATTTAAAAATATAAGTAGTTAAAGTAAATAAAGTAAGCTATTATTTATAATATTAATAATTTAAAAGAATTAGAGTATATTAAATATAAGGAGTAGAAAGTATAAAAAGTAAAAGTAGTTTATTAAGCTAATATATTATTACTTAATTTATTTAATTTTATAACTTAGGGTTTTATAGTTAATATTATTAATTAATATTTTTAACTTTTTTTTATTAAACTTAAACTTTAGTAAAAATTATTTATAAAGTTTTTTAAATATTTAAAGTTTTTAATAATTTACTATAAGTTTTTTATTTTATTATAGCTTTTTTATTTTACTAAGTATTTAATTTATTAAGTATTTTTATTAAATTTTATTATTTTAAATTTTTTAACTTTATATTTAAGTTTTTTACTTTAAATAATAATTTTATTTTATATAACTTTACTTATTTTTTTATTTACTAATACTTTTTTTAATAGTAAAATATAAAAATTTAAATATATAATCTTTTTTTATTTTCCTAGGGTAAGTAGAAGATTTATTTTATAATTAATAAGTTTAATTTTCTTTATAATTTTATAAAGTTTAAGTTTTTTAAAATTAAGTTTATTACTTAGCTTATTTATTTTAATATTTAGTTATTTATTATTTTATAAGTATTAAAGTAAGTAAACTATATCTCCCTCCTTAAAGGTTAGTTCTTTAATTTTTTTAATATTTATAAATTTAGCTATTTATTATTTAATAAATTTAAATTATACTTATAATTTCTAATATAGTTCCTTATGTTTATTTACTATAATAATAGCTTTACTAATATTTTCTTTTTTAATAAGTAGCTAATATAAATCTAGTTTAAACCTGTAGTTTATGTAAAATAGTAAGTAATTTATAAATTCTACTAGTATACTATTATAAAATACTTAGGTAGTTAGTAAGTATTTTACTTAATTATCTTAGTTAAAGTTAATGTAATATTATAAATATATTTTAATAATTTAGTTAATTTATTTTATTTATTTATTTATTTATAAGTAGTAAGCTATATTAGCTTTATATTTTAGTTTAATTTATACTATAAGTAATTATTAAAATTTTAATATAAATATTAATCCTTTATTAAAGATAATTTTATTTAATAATCTATAGTTTATATATATATATTAAAAAAATATATAAA